CACAGAGAGACTCCAGACAGACAGGGATTCAAACCAGGAACCTCCTCACAAACCAGGAACCTCCTCACAAACCAGGAACCTCCTCACAGAGAGGCTCCCGTCAGACGGGGATTCAAACCAGGAACCTCCTCACAGAGAGACTCCCGACAGACGGGGATTCAAACCAGGAACCTCCTCACAGAGAGGCTCCTGACAGACGGGGATTCAAACCAGGAACCTCCACACAGAGAGACTACCGTCAGACAGGGATTCAAACCAGGAACCTCCTCACAGAGAGACTCCGACAGACAAGGATTCAAACCAGGAACCTCCTCACAAACCAGGAACCTCCTCACAGAGAGACTCCCGTCAGACGGGGATTCAAACCAGGAACCTCCTCACAGAGAGACTCCTGACAGACAGGGATTCAAACAAGGAACCTCCACACAGAGAGACTCCAGACAGACAGGGATTCAAACCAGGAACCTCCTCACAAACCAGTAACCTCCTCACAGAGAGGCTCCCGACAGACGGGGATTCAAACCAGGAACCTCCTCACAGAGACTCCCTCAGACGGGATTCAAACCAGGAACCTCCTCACAGAGAGACTCCCGACAGACGGGGATTCAAACCAGGAACCTCCTCACAGAGAGACTCCGTCAGACGGGATTCAAACCAGGAACCTCCTCACAAACCAGGAACCTCCTCACAGAGAGACTCCGTCAGACGGGGATTCAAACCAGGAACCTCCTCACAGAGAGACTCCGTCAGACGGGATTCAAACCAGGAACCTCCTCACAGAGAGCTCCCGTCAGACGGGGATTCAAACCAGGAACCTCCTCACAGAGAGACTCCCGACAGACGGGGATTCAAACCAGGAACCTCCTCACAAACAGGAACCTACTCACAGAGAGCTCGACAGACGGGATTCAAACCAGGAACCTCCACACAGAGACTCCGTCAGACGGGATTCAAACCAGGAACCTCCTCACAGAGAGACTCCGACAGACGGGGATTCAAACCAGGAACCTCCTCACAAACCAGGAACCTCTCACAGAGAGGCTCGACAGACGGATTCAAACCAGGAACCTCCACACAGAGAGACTACCGTCAGACGGGGATTCAAACCAGGAACCTCCTCACAGAGAGGCTCCCGTCAGACGGGATTCAAACCAGGAACCTCCTCACAGAGAGCTCCTCAGACGGGATTCAAACCAGGAACCTCCTCACAGAGAGACTCCCGACAGACAGGGATTCAAACCAGGAACCTCCTCACAGAGAGACTCCGACAGACGGGGATTCAAACCAGGAACCTCCTCACAAACCAGGAACCTCCTCACAGAGAGGCTCCCGTCAGACGGGGATTCAAACCAGGAACCTCCTCACAGAGAGACTCCGACAGACGGGATTCAAACCAGGAACCTCCTCACAGAGAGACTCCCGTCAGACGGGGATTCAAACCAGGAACCTCCTCACAGAGAGACTCCCGTCAGACGGGATTCAAACCAGGAACCTCCTCACAGAGAGACTCCTGACAGACGGGGATTCAAACCAGGAACCTCCTCACAGAGAGACTCCGACAGACGGGGATTCAAACCAGGAACCTCCTCACAGAGAGACTCCCGACAGACGGGATTCAAACCAGGAACCTCCTCACAGAGAGACTCCGACAGACGGGGATTCAAACCAGGAATCTCCTCACAGAGAGACTCCTATCAGACGGGATTCAAACCAGGAACCTCCTCACAGAGAGACTCCCGACAGACGGGGATTCAAACCAGGAACCTCCTAACAAACCAGGAACCTCCTCACAGAGAAGCTCCCGTCAGACGGGGATTCAAACCAGGAACCTCCTCACAGAGAGGCTCCCAACAGACGGGGATTCAAACCAGGAACCTCCACACAGAGAGACTACCGTCAGACAGGGATTCAAACCAGGAACCTCCTCACAGAGAGACTCTCGACAGACGGGGATTCAAACCAGGAACCTCCTCACAAACAGGAACCTCCTCACAGAGAGCTCCCGTCAGACGGGGATTCAAACCAGGAACCTCCTCACAGAGACTCCGTCAGACGGGGATTCAAACCAGGAACCTCCTCACAGAGAGACTCCCGACAGACGGGGATTCAAACCAGGAACCTCCTCACAGAGAGACTCCACAGACGGGGATTCAAACCAGAACCTCCTCACAGAGAGACTCCCGACAGACAGGGATTCAAACCAGGAACCTCCTCACAAACCAGGAACCTCCTCACAGAGAGCTCCCGTCAGACAGGGATTCAAACCAGGAACCTCCTCACAGAGAGACTCCCGTCAGACGGGGATTCAAACCAGGAACCTCCTACAGAGAGGCTCCCGTCAGAGGGATTCAAACCAGGAACCTCCTCACAGAGACTCCCATCAGACGGGATTCAAACCAGGAACCTCCTCACAGAGAGACTCCCGACAGACAGGGATTCAAACCAGGAACCTCCACACAGAGAGACTCCGACAGACGGGATTCAAACCAGGAACCTCCTCACAAACCAGGAACCTCTCACAGAGAGACCCGACAGACGGGGATTCAAACCAGGAACCTCCTCACAGAGACTCCTGACAGACGGGATTCAAACCAGGAACCTCCTCACAGAGAGACTCCGTCAGACAGGGATTCAAACCAGGAACCTCCTCACAGAGAGACTCCGACAGACAGGGATTCAAACCAGGAACCTCCTCACAAACCAGGAACCTCCTCACAGAGAGCTCCCGTCAGACGGGGATTCAAACCAGGAACCTCCTCACAGAGAGACTCCCGACAGACGGGGATTCAAACCAGGAACCTCCTCAGAGAGCTCCTCAGACAGGGATTCAAACCAGGAACCTCCTCACAGAGAGGCTCCTGACAGACGGGGATTCAAACCAGGAACCTCCACACAGAGAGACTACCGTCAGACGGGATTCAAACCAGGAACCTCCTCACAGAGAGACTCCCATCAGACGGGATTCAAACCAGGAACCTCCTCACAGAGAGACTCCCGACAGACGGGATTCAAACCAGGAACCTCCTCACAGAGAGACTCCGACAGACAGGGATTCAAACCAGGAACCTCCTCACAAACCAGGAACCTCCTCACAGAGAGCTCCCGTCAGACGGGGATTCAAACCAGGAACCTCCTCACAGAGAGACTCCCGACAGACGGGGATTCAAACCAGGAACCTCCTCACAGAGAGGCTCCAACAGACGGGGATTCAAACCAGGAACCTCCACACAGAGAGACTACCGTCAGACAGGGATTCAAACCAGGAACCTCCTCACAGAGAGACTCCCGACAGACGGGATTCAAACCAGGAACCTCCTCACAAACCAGGAACCTCCTCACAGAGAGACTCCCGTCAGACGGGATTCAAACCAGGAACCTCCTCACAGAGAGCTCCTGAGACGGGGATTCAAACCAGGAACCTCCTCACAGAGAGCTCCGTCAGACGGGGATTCAAACCAGGAACCTCCTCACAGAGAGACTCCCGACAGACGGGATTCAAACCAGGAACCTCCACAAACCAGGAACCTCTCACAGAGAGCTCCCGTCAGACGGGATTCAAACCAGGAACCTCCTCACAGAGAGCTCCCAGACAGACGGGATTCAAACCAGGAACCTCCCACAGAGAGACCCGTCAGAGGGATTCAAACCAGGAACCTCCTCACAGAGAGACTCCGACAGACGGGATTCAACCAGGAACCTCCTCACAAACCAGGAATCTCCTCACAGAGAGACTCCCGTCAGACGGGGATTCAAACCAGGAACCTCCTCACAGAGAGACTCCGACAGACGGGGATTCAAACCAGGAACCTCCTACAGAGAAGCTCCCGTCAGACGGGGATTCAAACCAGGAACCTCCTCACAGAGAGGCTCCCAACAGACGGGGATTCAAACCAGGAACCTCCCACAGAGAGACTACCGTCAGACAGGGATTCAAACCAGGAACCTCCTCACAGAGAGGCTCCCGTCAGACGGGGTTTCAAACCAGGAACCTCCTCACAGAGAGAGGATTTCTCTTTTTCTCTTTATTGTATCGTGTTCGGTCCTCTTTAAGTTTGAATGGATTCATTCGGGTCAGACTCTTGTTGTTGTGATGTTTAGAACATGTTTCTGTCAGACGAGTAGTTCTTATTTTCACAGATAGAATGTAAACAGTCTCATTGTTGTGTTTCCAGAACCTTCCTCTCCTGATGAACTTCCGGTGTGTGTGCTTCTCACTCTCTCTACTTACTCTCTGCACATCTGCAGGCCTGTCTGAAGTCTCTGTCATGAAGAATCAATGTGATGAAGAAAATTACGTTTAAACAGAAGGGGGGTCACGTGTCTCTGAGCTGTGATTCTGAGGAGCAGGGCACGTGCGCGGGTGTCAGAGTTGAGGGTTTGAATCCCGCAGGATCAAAGCTCCCAGATGTCACGCTAATGTACATTTCTGTATTTAGGTTATTTCTGTATTTAGGTTGCTAACTGAGGCTGCCGGGACTGACAGGCGCCGCCGGCCAATCACAGCACAGCTAGCCTCCCGTGCAGGGCTGTGATTGGTCGGGGCGTTGACAGGGGGCGGGGCTGTGAGATTACAGCAGCATCCCTCTCTGCAGATCCAGCGGACATCTGGAGCAGCCCTTCACGAGAATCAAACCTCCGAGCACCGATAGCCCCCGCACCGAGCCCGCCGGGTCCCGCACCGAGCAACCGACAGCCCGCACCGAGCCCCGACAGCCCCCGCACCGAGCCCCGACAGCCCCCGCACCGATCCCCGACAGCCCCCGCACCGAGCCCGCCGGGTCCCGCTCCCCGCTCAGCACGCTGCATCTCTCCTCCGGGAGGCTGCTGAGCTCCGGGAGACAGGCGGACCGATTCTGCTGGAAAAACACGGAAATACGACTAAAAACGGGAGGGGGAGAGGGGGGCGGGGGGATGGACTGAAGTGATCTGAGGGTCTGAGGGTTCTAAAGGCCCGATGGAAGCTGCGACACATCCGGACCCGGAGCGTCCTGATCCCCGGTCCGTGCTGTAGTCTGGATTAGAGAGTGTGAGTTTGTGTGTGTGTGTTTATGTGTGCGGGTTTCATCACATCTGATTCTGATCCTGATCCTGATCCTGATTCTGATCCTGATTCTGATTCTGATCCTGATTCTGTCCAAGTGTGTCCGTCTTTATCTTTCCTCTGAAACACAGACGGATCAGAGAGTGAGGCGGGTCCTCCTCCTCCTCCTCCTGGTCTGGATTAAAGCCCATCAGGATCATGCATCATCCCCCCTCCGCTCCTGTAATCTGGGTTTTACCGAGCTGGATTTAAAACTGAGATCTGATCTGGATTACTCTGCTCCTGGTTCTGATCGGGTCAAACCTGACCCGGTCTGAACCGGTTCTGGTTCTGCTGTGATCTCAGACTCGGTCCTGGTCCTGTTTGTTTGAGGACTTCTGCTGACGTCATGCCGACGTCACGGCCCGGGTCGGAGCCGGTGGAGTTCTGGGTGGACGGGTCGAGGCGGGACGGGACGGTGGAGGAGTTCTACACCCTGAGCTCCGAGCTGGGCAGGTCTGAGGATTCTTTAAAGTTCACCTGAGTTCAGATAGATCCTTTATCAGAGTTTCATTTAAAGAACCAGAACTCTGAGCTATGATTCTAAATCAACCGATACCAGAACCTCTGATACAACAAACAGACCGAGGTCTCAAAATCTTCCATACTTCCATTTTATTCAAACCCTGAGTTTTAAAATGACACGCTCTGAGTTTTATTTAATGATCGATGATATGGAAACAAACCGAAACCTTAAAAAACGACGTCTACTTGAAAACATCTCAATAACCGGGTTGTTGATTTCATATTTAAAACATTTTGGCAGGAAGTGACCATATTTGGATAGGAGGGTGGAGCTAGAGAGGAGGGAGTCTGTAACATCCAGTTTAAAATCCTGCAGTTCCTGGAGTGTCCACTAGAGGCTGACTGCAGAAGCACAGGAAGTCACATACACACCCATTCTAAAAAGAGATAATAACAGAAATAAACATTCTGGGTTCTCGTTCCTGTTTCCCGCTCACTGACATTCTTTAGTCTGATTTTATACGTCTGCGTTCAGAGACGAGGTAATAATTCATCAAATAAACTTTACAGCCGATTTAAAAAGTAAACTATGAACAAGTCCCGATCCAGACCAGGTTCTGTTTGAACGTCTGACTCACAAAGTTTAAAGCTGTGATGATCTGCTGGTCCACTGACCCGGTTCTGTCCACAGAAAGACGAGGAGACTCTTTATCAAGTGGACACTCTCTGAACATCTGAGATGAGCTTCACCGTTTCAAACAAAGATTCCTCCCTGAACGGAGCGAGGCAGGATGACCTCCCCGAGTCATATTTATAATAATCATATTTACAGAGCTTTTATTTTGAAGGGGTGGAAGTGTTTTCCTGATCACTGGAATGTTTGAGCGTCACATCTCTTATAAATACTGCGGCGCAGTTACCACCAACTCTCATTTCTTCACTCTGTGCAGAGCTGTTAGCGCCCCCTGTTGGTCAGTCATACTCTTTAATATAATGAGATGATTTATTTCAAAACAGCTCATTTAAATACTCGATAGAGTGTGTGTGTTTACAGTGTGTGTGTGTGTGTTTACAGTGTGTGTGTGTGTTTACAGTGTGTGTGTGTGTGTGTTTACAGTGTGTGTGTGTGTGTGTGTGTATGTTTACAGTGTGCGTGTGTTTACAGTGTGTGTGTTTACTGTGTGTGTGTGTGTGTGTGTGTGTGTGTGTGTTTACAGTGTGTGTGTGTGTTTACAGTGTGTGTGTGTGTGTTTACAGTGTGTGTGTGTTTACAGTGTGTGTGTGTGTGTTTACAGTGTGTGTGTGTGTTTACAGTGTGTGTGTGTGTGTTGACAGTGTGTGTGTGTGTGTGTGTGTGTGTGTGTATGTTTACAGTGTGCGTGTGTTTACAGTGTGTGTGTTTACTGTGTGTGTGTGTGTGTGTGTGTG